CACTTAAAGGTCTAGTACCATTTAGGTATTTTCCATGAGATTGAAAACCGTGTTAGCAGAAAATGTTCGATATAGATCCATGTCAATACCTAGCCCCTATACAAAGGCCCTGTCCAATTTGTCACATTGTCCCATCTTGGTGAATTAAGAACTTGTTTTTTGACAAGTAAAACCAGTAAGGAAAGTAGTAAAGTCAGACTGGGCCGACTATATGATACGATAAATCGAAAGATATATGGGACTTTGGTGCACTATTTACATTAAATCGGACGAAAATATATATGGGAACTATATCTAAATCTGGACCGATTTTCAGGAAACTTAACGCACATCATTCAAGACCTAATTCAGTACGCTGTGCAAATTTCGTGCAAATCGAAAGTTATATAGGGACTTTGGTACAACATTTACATTAAATCGGGCGAAAATATATATGGGAGCTGTATCTAAATCTGAACCATTTTTTTCATTTTCAATAAGGTTCGTAAGTGAACTATGCCAAATTTAATTCAATTCGGATCATAAATGCGCCCTGTACTTTGTTTACAATTTAACATGGACAGACAGACGGACGGACATGCATAAATCAACTTAAACATTAATTGTATGCATATTCTCAAAAGGAACCATGTGTCTATTTCGTTTCTTTGTGCCTGTTACAAACATATGCACATAATACCTTGTACCACAGTGTGGTGATGGGTATAAAAATGCCAGTTGGAGTTGCCGACAAATATATAGCCTCAACCTATATGTAAAGTATTTAATTTTTAAAGCCATATGTTTTTTTATCAAAAAGAGTTTGGATTTAATGTTGATCAAATCGGATATAAATATTAAAAATATTGATCATTTGTGGGAGTTAACAGAAGAAGTTTGCCACTGGGTCCCACCATCGGACTTAATCTAGGCTTGATAAAGATAATAAGTTGTTCAAAGTTAGGATGCCATCGCCTGGTAGTAAATTTATAAATATTGAAATTTTTGACCTATTGTGGGGGAGGTACCAGAATTAGAGGACCAATTTGTCTCGTCTTCGGACATGATCAAGGCTTGGTAAAGGTAAAGGGTTGTTCAAAATTTTATTCAAATCGGACACTCCATTCGTCTAATATTGGATTACTAAATATGGAACATTCTGACCATTTTGGGGGAGGTACCAGAAGAAATGGACAAATCGCTTCCATCTTTGGATTTATCTAAGCTTGGTAATAATAATAGGTTGTAGAAATTTTGGTTGAGTTTATAAATATTGGAAATTTTGACCATTCGTAGGGGAGGCACAAGAGGAGTGGATAATAGTTCCCATCTTTGGACTTGACTTAAGCATGGTAAAAATAACAGGTTGTACAGTTTAAATCGAATTGTCCGTTCGCATGATATAACAAAAATTATGTTAAGGGGACCCCCCCATTCTCGGGTTCAATACATTTTTTTTTCATTTAATTTAAATCTACACTAATTCAAGAATGTCCTGTAAAAATCTCCAGAACTCTTGAAGATATAGCCGATTTACTGTGTCAGCCCCATGTGACGGCTGAAGGGTTTTTCAAACTTTAAACGCGTTTTTCTCTAAACATTGGTTTTGCGAATGGCGGGCACGATAACCCAAAAACTAATAATCCAATCGATTTCAAATTTTTACACATTTCTCTGTGAGTGTATAGCTATCGTATGAACTAGGATAAAGCCAATCGGCGAAGATCTTCCTTATTTTTATACCCTCCACCATAGTACGAGGGGTATATTAATTTTGTTTTTCCGTTTGTAACTCATCGAAAAAATCATTTCCGACCCTATAAAGTATATATATTCTTGATTAGCGTAAAATTCTAAGAGGATCTAAGCTTGTCCGTCAGTCCGTCCGTCTGTCCGTCTGTTGTAATCACTCTAGCGTCTAAACGAATTGAGATAGATCGCCAAAATTGCATAGAGTCGTCTTTTGTCTGCAGGCAGGTCAAGTTCGAAGATGGGCTTTATTGGTCCACGTTTAGGCATAGCTCCCATATAAGGGTACCCCCCAATTTTCGTTATTTTGAGGTTCTTGAGCGCGTTTTTCAACTGAATTCGCTGAAATTTAATACATTGAGTTATTTTTGGGTAGGAAATCTCTCCACTCAAAATTATAAATATTCGTCCATATTTTCGGATAGCCCCCATATAAGGGTACCCCTAATTTTGCGGTATTTTGGGGGGTTTGATTGCATTTTTCGACCGAATTCGCTGAAATTCGGTACTTTGAGTTTTAATTGGGTTGCAAATATCTATACTAAAAATTATTAATATAGGTAAATTTTTTCGGGTAGCCCCCATATAAGGGTACCCCCCAATTTTCGGTATTTTAGGGTTCTTGAGCGCGGTTTTCAACCGAATTTGCTGAAATTTGGTACATTGGGTTCTTATTGGGTACCAAATTCCCCCACTAAAATTTATAAATATAGGTCCACTTTTTCTGGTAGCCCGAATTTTCGATATTTTGTGGTTCTTGAGCGTGTTTTTTAACCGAATTCGCTGAAATTTGGTATTTTGTTGTCGTATATGGCAACAAATCTCCCCACCAAAAATTATTAATATTCACCCCTGTTTAGGGGTAGTCCTCATATAACCCCCTTCTTTATATTAAAATAGTTATCAGAATTGTTCCGTGTGTTGGGGTTGGGTAGTCGTTAGACTATTTCGCCATCTGTTGTATGCATTCCGCTCTCTAAAGATATTGTGATAAAAGAAAACTCAAACATGACGATAACGAAATATATCGGCAGACATTTAGGCATCTCCTCAATATAGTGATACCTCCTGAAGGAAAGAATTGAGATAAACAATTAAAATATTGGGTTCAATATTGGCATATACCGGTCATTAATTCGGCATAGCTCTCATATAATGATATTCCCAAATATTCACTATTTCCTACACTATGTAATCAATATTGGTCCCCCTTTAGGCATAGCCTCATATAACTTTGTAATGTACATTACAGTAGTTTGAGGATTTTATACTCTACCATGCATTATCAGTATTAGTCCACTTTTTCTATCTTACAGATTTTAGGGAAAATCCCCATTAACAATTGCTGAAGTTTGTATTTGGTTTACATAAACCGGTTTGTAGAATTATCGGTATATACCCACTTTTTGGTATGTTCGCTATATTTTCATTGCATGTATCTGTCAGTATAACTATGGTGGAGGGTATCCAAAGTTCGGCCCGGCCGAAATTAACGCTTTTTCACTTGTTTTAATTGATTTTTGGTCAAAAATCTCGCTGATTTTTCCAAAAATATTTTTTCAAAGGTCTGACATTTTGTAAATTTTATAGCGAAGTCAAAAATTCCTAGTTCATACGAGAGGCAGACATGTACTGTTTCTAACACCGTTTGCATTTTCGGATTCCGATGTTCCAGTGATGCCCGCCATCAAAAATAAGGACTTTCCTTTAATTACAAAAAAACAACAACAAAACAATAAAAATTTTTTTGTAAATTATTTTTCTTCTCTTTTAATAATACATGTATATATATACATATATATATATGCAAAGTTACAAGCCTTAACATGCATTGGTATTGATTTACTAGCCCTTAGAAAATCTTGAAAAATTAAAATCGTGACAATTTTGTGTGGGCGGTACCAGAAGGAGTGAACCGATATTCACTACCTTCGAACTAGAACTAAGGTTGGAATAAATAATACGATGAGCGAAATCGGTTACTCCATTCGAGAGTTATCGTGCGCACCAGCCCGCCAGACAGACGGAAGGACGGACAATCGCTCTTCCGTCCAAATTGTCGGAGACGAATTCGATCCATAGAAACATGGAGTCAAAAACCAATATTTCTATGATTCTCATTTTTCCCGTTTCGAAATGTGTATGTTGGAAAAAAATGTTCGATATGGTCCCATTTTTTGTAATTGTCCTCATACAAAGGTCCGGAAGATTTGTTTATAGCTCACATACAGAAGTTCCGTTTGATTTTCGGCATGTTTAAGTCCCTAACCTAGTTATTCTGTCAATTGGTGTTTTTGCAGGTATTATTCGTAAAGATGTTTTCTGAGCAAGAATTGGGTAAATCTGGAAATGCACAATGAATATAGATTACTTGTATTTAAGGGCCGCATCTTTGCATAATATTTGGGTAGTTTAGGGACAAAAAAAATAAAAGACTCATAAGGACACGATATACTAAAGATATAATGGCAAATTTGTGTTTCTGCGTTCTTAATAATTCCCCATAAGGAATTTTCTCTCCCTAATAAGTCTCTCCCTAAAATAATTGTCGATATTTAAAAAAAAATATATCAACTTTATCAGTACTTTAATTTCCCACACATACACCAAGGGTCGAACTTATACGCAATATATTATTTGCACTCATTACACACATTCCACATATAATTCTTATTTTTTATAAATAACCTTTTTAGCAACGGGTCATGTTCTCCACTCACTCTGAAAGGGCTAATAATTTTCTCAATAAACGTTCATCTTATCTAAAAGCAATGATCCATTAATTGACCAAAACTTTTGGGATTTCTAAACAAAACAATAAATTTAATTGGGTTAACAGAAAGAATGAACTGAAAAAAAAACGGAAAATATCTGCGATTTAACGACACGCTTTCAAAGGCATTCTCATTTAGGCCATTTAACAAGGCAACAATGTTTTATGTTATCAAATTGCCACAGTTGTTGCCTGCGGAACAAAGCAGCAAAAAGTATCCAACTTGCCGAGAATAAAAATCACAAACCTTACATCCTGACTTTATGCCAAAATTTCCTTGGGTCGTCTACTATTTCTTTTGCAGCATTGTATTACGATAAAAAAGCGAACTGAACGTATCCCAAACAAGAGAAAAACTGAAACGGCAAAGGAAATCATAATTCTTTTTCTTTAATTTCAACAAATAAAAAATGTATTCATTTTATTTATGGTTATTATTGTTATTTTTACTTTGGCCTTCTGGTGTTATTGTTTTTTTCTGTTCTTTTTTTTCTTGCAGAATTTCCTGATAAACGACCCCAGCTATTTACGGAGCATACACGATATGAGCCGGGTGATGTATTGCGTGCTAACTGTAGTACACCACCATCTCGGCCAAGAGCTGAATTAAGATTTACGATAAACAATATACCGGTAAGTAACAATAACAACAGCAAAAAAAAACGAACTAAACTAAACTAAAAAGTCCGCATTGAAGGAAAAGCTTTGAAGAAAAAACCAAATAATTTACAAAGAAATCATGTGTGTAGTACACGGAACAAAAAATCAGAATTAAGAAGTGTCAATGTAAAAGCATTGTGTAAAATAAATATTCGACAGAACCGAAGCGTAAACCCATCTGTATAAACAATGTCGACATACATACATATTTCATCCTTTGAGTACCCAGTACAATCAGCTTTAAAAATGCGGATATGACCTTCAAAATATGTGGGTTGTGTCTGCATCATTTCAGGTATTTCGATGGTCGTAGTAAGATTATCCATTCAATATGACAATAATTAAGCTTTCTAGGTTCTTTGCTAAAAGGTTCCTCAAGGTTCCGACTTATTTCAAGTATTTTGATGTCCCTATTCGCTTTTTACTGTGAACGTTTTTGACTCATTTTTTAAGAGATATTTCTATGTGCATGTCATTCAGGATTCGGGACCATTATATGGAGACAATCTCATTGTAACTAGAAACTCTTACATAGCAAAAATTATACGGGAACTCAGTATATATTTAAAGACATGGGCGGGACATACATACCAGCCTCCAAAAGTTCGAAATGCCAAATTAGAGCCTATTAGGTTGGAAAATCCGGATACAGGCATAAAAATACCGAAAATTGAGTGAGACCTTTATATGTGGGCCTTGTCAAAACATGGACCTTTAGGAATAATTTTCTGTTGACAAATGCGCCTAAAACCTTAAAAATACTGAAAATTGGAATATACAATTATATAGAAGCTATGCCAAAACATGGACCGATATAACCCAGACAGAGTCAGTGAACAATTTCAAACCTCTTTATAAATATTGAACTTGACAATATCGGTATATTTTTGATTCCGTTCAAGCAGAGCATCCTTACAGGACCATACTTTTAGCCTCATTGCTAATGAGGATAGATACACATTGATAAGGAAAAATTTGCGTCTTTGAAATATTGGTTTTGGAACCTATGTTTCTTTGGACCAAATCCGATTCAGACATTTTTGAGTCGATTTACAAATGTCCGTCCGCCTATCTGTGTGGTCGGATAGCTCTCGAAGGGAATAACCGGTTTCATCCAAATTATGCACATCGTAGTATTTCTTCCAAACTAAGTTCAAGTTCAAAGATGGGGAATATTGGTACACTCCTTCTGGTACCTCCCCCACAAATTTTCAAATTTTCAATATTTTCAAATGCAGCAATAGGCGAATGGAGCGTCCGATTTGAACCAAACGTTGCACAACCTAGTATCATGTCCGAAGATGGGATTCATTGGTCTACTCCTTCCGGTACCTCCTTACAAATGGTCAAAAATTTCATTATTATAAATTAAATATTCGGCGAAGAGAATATCGGAATTGAACCAAACTTCCTATTATCTTGACCTAGTCTAAATTAATTCCGAAGATGGGGCCCATTGGTCCACTCCTCTCGGTACCTCCTCCACAAATGGTAAAAATGTTCAAGACTTATAAATCCAGTATCAGGCAAATGGAATGTCCGATTTGAGTCAAACTTTGCACAACCTATTATTTTGGCCAAGCCTAGATCAAGTCCGAAGATGGGACCCAACGGTCCACTCATTCTGTTTCAATATTTATATCAAGACTTATAAATCCAGTGTCAGGCGAATGACATGTCCGATTTGAACGAAACTTGGCTCAACCTGTTATCTTTATTAAGCCTAGAATATGTGACCCATTGGTCTTATCCTTCTGGTATCTACCAAACAAATGGTCAAAAATGTCAATAATTATAAATTAAATAAATTAAACCAAACTTTGCACACCCGATTATCATTACCAAGACTAGATCAAGTCCAAGTGTGATCAATTGTGATCTTCGAGAGGTCACATGGTCTGGAAATTGTTCCGTAAAATGAAATGGTTTCTAAATTTGTGCAGCCCGTAGCGACGTCGTGTAAATGTAAACATTGGCCAATCCAATTTCATCCAACTCTAAAAATAAATGTAAAATCCAACGACCTCGCCGAACCATAAACCCATTAAAAAGGTTCACTAGTTAGATATAAAAACTTCTCTGCAGTAACTCTTGGGTTTTCCGATACCCAGATGTGACAATTTTTATACCCTACACCACACTGTGGTACAGGGTATTATGTCTTTGTTCATATGTTTGTAACATTTAAAAATAATCGAGATAGACCCATGGTTCCTTTTGAGAATATGCATAGAATCACTTTCTAAGTCGATGTCGGTCCGTCCGTCCATCTGTCCGTCTGTTGGTGTTAAATTGTAAACAAAGTACAGGTCGCATTCATGATCCGAATTGGATGAAATTTGGCACAGCTCACAATTAATTATGCCCAAGGACGAACCCTATTGAAATTGAGAAAAATCGGTTCAGATTTAGATATAGCTCCCATATATATTTTCGTCCGATTTAAGGTAAATGGTGCACCAAAATCCCTATATATCTTTAGATTTGCACGAAATTTGGCATAGCGTACTGAACTGCCCCTAGAATGATGTCTGTTAAGCTGCGTAAAAATCGGTTCAGATTTAGATATAGCTCCCATATATATATTCGTCCGATTTAAGGTAAATTGTGTACCAAAGTCCCTATATATCTTTCGATTTGCACGAAAATTGGCACAGCGTACTAAATTAAGTCTAGAATGATGTGCGCAAAGTTTCGTGAAAATCGGTTCAGATTTAGATATAGCTCCCATATATAGCTTCGCCCGATTTTAGGTAAATAGTCCACGAAAGTCCCTGGAAATCTTTTGATTTGCTCGAAATTTAGCACAGCGTAATGAATAAGGTCTAGAATGATGCCTGAGAAGTTTCGTGAAAATCGGTTCAGATTTAGATATAGCTCCCATATATATCTTCGTCAGATTTAAGGTAAATTGTGTACCAAAGTCCCTATATATCTTTCGATTTGCACGAAAATTGGCCAGCGTACTAAATTAAGTCTAGAATGATGTGTGCAAAGTTTCGTGAATATCGGTTCCGATTTAGATATAGCTCCCATATATAGTTTCGGCCGATTTTAGGCAATTGGACCACCAAAGTCCCTGGAAATCTGGCCGATTGACACAACGTACTGACGTTATATATATTAGTCTCTGGCAATTTTCCCCGAAATCTGTTCAGATATGGATATATAACAAAAACGTGTCGTCTGTTAGGATATACCCAAAGGGGTGAATGGTATCATATAGTCGGCCAGTCCGACTTTACTACTTTCCTTACTGATTCTTACTGATGTTACCACCCAGGTGAAAATGGGCCTTATCATTTAAAATGGAATTTCTGATTATTTTCATTTACTTTAAAAATCCAATGGTGGTTGTACTAATAATGGGGAATCTCCTTGTCAAACAATAAAGCTTACAAAAAGGATAATTGAAATACAAAGTAATTCAAATAGCAACCTCTTTTTGGAAAATTCTTTATATTACAGATTCTCCGACCATTATTTCGAGGTGTTGCAAGAGGAAGATGTTGTATATTGCACAGGCATGCAGAAACCCTCCCCCTGGATACGTAGTTTCCTTTTTGGAGGGTATATAAATTAAAAACGCTATCCAATATTTCTCTCCGTGTACGAGGAGAGTTTAAAAGCAATTTATGTTTAAACCGATATAGCTAAAGCTTAAGCATGAGAAATGTGTTTAGCACATTTTAACTGTTGTGTAAAATATTTGAAGTTATGAAAAGCCATACCACTGACAAAGGACGAAATTTGCTAAACATACAATATTTATGCGGCTCCATGAGTGTGAGCGTGTGTTTGTGTTTTGTGTTGATACATAATTCTAAAAACGTACATTAATATTTGCTCATGTAGGAACACACACAGACATATATATATATGGGCATGTGCAAATGTGTGCTTGTTCGAAAAATGCTATTACATAATGACAGACTATAAATTTTACAGTTTTAAAATTGTTATTAATTGCTAATTAACGATACGAGACTATGATTAATAGTTGTGTAACATGTTACAAAGTCATGAATAAGAGAAACTATTTACAATCATACATAACACATAAACACACACACAATCACACTTACAATCTCCTTTGATTTATAAATTTAGTAGACGTTCACAGAGAAATGGAACATGAAAAGATGGTGGGGTGCTTGCATTTTGTAAAGCATCGTTTTTGATTTTTAAACAATAACACAAACGAGGGATTTTTGTAAGGAAGTAAAATAGTAAGGATACGATGAGAAATTAAAGAAGCTTTGTGAACTGTGAATATAAAAATCGACGTGAATGTTTGTAATATTATATATAATGGAAATATGCTCGTTTGTGCAAAAACAAATCGTGAGTCAATTTTTCGAGTCACTTTTTCCTCTCCAACATTTTCTGGCAATGAACATCGCACAGTGACCATATCCAAGAACCTCGGAGAACATTTTTTAAGAGAATTAGAATCAATATGAAATATGATATTTATACATCAAGTAGTTTTGTCTCTACAAAGTTTCAAATTTAATAATTATTTGGCAATTGATTTTTTCATCTTATTTTCGAAAAATCGGTATATATCAGAAAAATATACCGATTTTTGAATATTCAAATTAACGATTATTATAAGTCGTTTTATTTCAGTTGTTTAAATCCAGGATTCGTATACAGTAGTCCACACCTATAGTCCTTAGTCCATCTAATTTGTAAAACCAATTTTAATAATTTGTGGGGTGGAAACAAACGTTTCAAAAAGTTTCGCTCTCATTTTTTATTTGAGTAGTGAAAAATGCGGAAGCTAACTTTAACTTTTTTGCGAACCACCTTATAAAAATATGACATTCATGAAATGGTTAGAAGTGAATGTTCCAATATGTTATGCATACAATTAAAGAAGTCATTGAGGGCCAACTAAGAAGGAGAACGATGGATTCAGAACGTAGTAATCATACAATATTTTACATTAAATTTGCAAATAGTTGGTA